CAGCTACTAAACAGTCGAGCAACCATGACAGCTCCACTGAAAGATCTGATTGACTATGCTTGGGAAGAGCTGATAGTCGTGAGAACTTTTCTCATTGATTCATTGGAGCAGTGCAAACAGCAACCTAAGATAACTGATTTTTTAACTCTTATCCAATCTGTGACTCACAAAGCATTTTTAGTTTTGTATAACCTTTTAGGTTATACAAAACAAGAAGACTTGGCCTGGGAAATGAATCGCGAAGACTTGGCCTGGGAAATAAATCGCTCACATTTTAAATTGCTTCTTAGGTTCAACTTTATTAAGGCAGCAATTAGACAAATGTGTCCCACCATTTCTGCTTCATCATCAACTGAGATATATCTGCTGAACTTTCTTCCTATTAGATTTGAGGTCATTGATTCTTATTTCTTGTCATCCTCTGGTCACGACAACATGGATTTAGTTATGATGGGGTTTCATGAATATATTATTGACAATCTGCTACTGAAGGATGAAACTGATTTGTCATTTACAGTTGGACATGACGTTAAAAAGTTCTACTATGGATTGTTGCTCCTGGTAACATCTCTTGTTGATCCTCTAGCTCAGTGCAGTGGATTTGCAATTGAGGCCGAATCTGTGAATAGCAACAAAAGCAATCTTGTTCTTCAGTTTTTGACTGTGGCTTTCAAGCTTATCGAATCTGAGCACAGTCTACACAAAGCCACTTTGGAAGCTCATGAAGAGCTTATTTATCTTAGAGTTCTTCTCATAAATGTTCTCTGGGAACACACACAGCTTAATGAATTGCATCATGTCTTAATGCATGCAGAAGTGACTGCCAACAAGATCGCACAAAATATCAAGGGAATACACATTGAGGATATTGGGCTTTTATTATCTGAGATTAAATCTGTCAAAGTAGAGGTCAGAAAAGTATGCTTTCAGTTTCTGGATGCATCACCTTACATCATAACAGATGGAGAAGGCCTTATTAATTTCTTATTGAAATGCCAGGACGGGCTGCTCAACTATGATGCTTGTTCAATTCCTTTTCAGAAGAACCAAATCCCAGTAATCAAAGACAAACTAGTTTATTTGGGTTCTTTTATTGCAGATATTGTACAGCATCGTGATATGCATCAAGAGCTCAAAGACCTTATGAAACGTGTTCAAGATATAATGTTTGTCTGTCTCTTCCCCATCAGAGATTCTGCACCTTCTTGGTATTACAGGCTACATCTCTATGATGTCAGGCAATTGCTTAAGTTTGTTGAGAAAGAGGTCAAAATGATTTGTCTCAAAGTTTCAGGTTCTTCAAGTTATAGCTTCCCCAGATAAATGAACTAGGATTTCTTGATTGCTTCCTGGGAAAACTGGATGAGATGTTAAGTTCTAAGCTCGAGTCAGTCATCGACTTAAAACGTCAAATTGAGCCATTGAAGGAGGGCTTATTGTGTCTAAGAACATTGACTGATCATTTCCCAGAATCTACGATGAGCATGATGAAGTTTATAGTCTTATAACAAGAGTTACTGACATGGCATACAAGGCAGAGTATGTCATGGACTCGTGCTTGACCTATTCTTATCCACTCTGGTACAAAGTTCTTTGGATTTCTGAAGCTGCTGAGAATATTAAACTTCTAAATAAAGTTGTTAGGGAAACATGTGAAAGAAAAAAGATAGATGTGGCAGTGCTCAAAGTTAGAAAGACCTCAACTCATCTTGTGCCGTCTCTATCAGCTAATACTCCAGGATCAAATGAAGAAATGGAGAGTTTCCAGGAGGCGATGGACCAAATGAAGAAGCAGCTACTTGGAGGTTCGCGTGAGCTAGATGTCATCTCATTGGTTGGCATGCCGGGAATTGGTAAGACTACTCTTGCCGAGAAGATTTACAATGATCCAGTAATCACCTCTCGCTTTAAAGTCCGTGCTCAGTGTCGCGTGACTCAAGTATATTCATGGAGAGATTTGTTGCTTGCCATTTTGAATGGTGTGCTTGAGCCTATTGATCGCAATGAAAAAGAAGATGCTGAATTAGCTGATGAGCTGCGGCGATTTTTGTGGACCAAGAGATTCTTAATTCTCATTGATGATGTTTGGGATGATAAAGTGTGGGACAATCTACATATGTGCTTCAAAGATGCTCGGAATGGGAGTAGAATTATTCTAACAACACGTTTGAGTAAAGTTGCCAATTATGCTTAATGTGAAAGTGAACCTCATCATCTTCGCTTGTTCAGAGATGATGAGAGTTGGACATTATTACAGCAAGAGTTGTTTCAAGGGAAGAGCTGTCCTCCTGAAATTGTTGATGTGGGGTTCCGAATAGCTAAAAAATGTGGAGGGTTGCCTCTCTTCATTGTTTTAGTTGCTGGTGTTCTCAAAGAGAAAAAGATAATAAAAGCAGAATTGTGGAAGGAAATAGAAGAAAGTCTAGGTTTGCTGAATATTGGTAGCTTGGAAGAGAGCATGTCTATAATTGGATTCAGTTATAGGAATTTACCGCACAAGTTGAAGCCTTGTTTTCTCTATTTTGGAGGACTTTTAAAGGGAAAGGATATTCAGGTCTCAAAATTGACTCGGTTGTGGGTTGCTGAGGGTTTTGTACAAGCAAATGAGGAAAACGGACTAGAAGATGCTGCAGAAGGTCTCTTGGAAGATCTTATTAGTAGAAATTTAGTGATGGATGTGGAGAAGAGACCCAACGGGAAGCTTAAAACATGTCGTGTTCATGATCTGTTGCATAAATTCTGCTTGGAGAAGTCCAAACAGGAGAATTTCCTTCTTCAGATCAATGGGTATAAAGAACTATACTGATTTTATTGTATTATTATTTATATCAACTCTCATTTTCATTATTTTCTCTTTAAACAGACTATTAACTGGTGGGGATACATTTCCTGAAATGTCTATGGAATACCGGTTGTTTGTTCATACTTCTGACTATCAGATTGATCTGTGGCAGCCATCTCGCTCGAATGTTCGCTCTTTGTTGGTCAATGTGATTGATTCAGAGAACTTATTCTGGCCGTGTAACATCTCCTTCATCTTTGATAGCTTCAAACTTGTTAAGGTGTTGGATTTGGAATCCTTCAACATTGGTGGTACTTTTCCCAGTGAAATACAATTTCTAATTCATTTGAAGTATTTTGCTGCTAAAACTGGTGGAAATTCAATTCCTTCATGTTTAGCTAAGCTTTGGAATCTCGAAACTTTTGTGATAAGAGGATTGGGAGTAGAAGTGATATTACCCATTTCACTTCTAAAGATGGTTAAAATGAGGAATATACATGTAAACCATCGTGCTTCATTTAGTTTGCCTGAGAACATGAGTGAATCACTTTCTGACTCTCAATTAGATAATTTGGAAACCTTTTCCACTCCACATCTCTCTTACGGTGAAGATACAGAGCTGATATTGAGAAAGATGCCAAAATTGAGAAAGCTGAGTTGCATATTTTCAGGGACATTTGGTTATTCAGAGAAAATGAAGGGAAGGTGTGTTCTCTTTCCCAGATTAGAGTTTCTAATTCACCTTGAATCCCTCAAACTTGCCTCCAACAGCTATCCAGCCAAACTTCCACATGTCTTCAGTTTTCCCTCAAGACTTGGGGAATTGACTCTGTCAAAGTTTCGTCTACCATGGAGCCAAATCTTGAGTATAGGAGAGCTTCCTAACTTGAAGATTCTAAAGTTACTTCTCAGAGCCTTTGAAGGGGATGAATGGGAAGTGAATGATTCAAAGTTCTGTGAACTCAAATACTTAGAATTGGAGGACCTCAACATTGCACAGTGGTCTGTCTCTGAGGATGCTTTTCCTTTGCTTGAACGTTTGGTTTTAACCAAATGTAAGCGGCTTGAGAAAATTCCTTCTCATTTTGATGATGCTGTATTGTTAAAAAGCATTGAAGTAAACTGGTGCAGCTGGGATGTTGCTAATTCAGCCAAGGAAATTCAAGAAATTCAGCATGATGAAATGGCAAATGATGCGTTCAAAGTTACAATACAGCCTCCAGATTGGGATAGAAATTCATCTCCTTGACTCATTATCTGGTATGTTCTTGTCATGTTCATTTTTCTTTTACACCGCATCATGCTTATTATTACTTATTCAGTGAATGTTCCATTCAGGCTTGCAAACATGGAGGAGGACCTCAGCTAGTTGAAGGATCTTCAGCAATAAGTGAAGTGTTCGATTAAATTTCAACTCTTAGTGATTTGTGTGAAACTAGTAATGAATTTATGAGCAACAGCTCACATCCGTTTTCTAAACTTTCTGGAACTATTGGAAATGTGAAATTATTGTTATCAGTGTGCTACATTCCTTTTAAATCAGTATATTGAAATTGTCCTCTTGGCATGTGTAGGACTTGTTTTTCGAGGTTAAGATGATTGAATATATATCATGTGTACCTACAATTATGAACCATCAAAGTTTGATTAGATGTACATGTGATCTTTTTACTTATTTTTATTTATGAGGTACAAGCATGTGCATGGATGGAAAAACACCTAGTTTTTCTCTCATTTCACTCATTTCAAGCTTTGTAACTCCCGAAAACTAGTATGAGAATTGAGATCATGAGCAACAGAGGAGAACAAGCAAATGAGAGATCGTTGAAAGCATTGAGGAGGGATGGCCTTCTTGATATCACCAATTGCAAAAGAGGGCTTTGAAATTGGCACGCTTTGGAGAGGATTTCTCTTTTGTTTAGTTTTAGTTTTTGGAACAGACATATTGCCTCTGGCTCCAATTCTTGATAGGGATTTGCCTATTTACTGAAATGAATATATATATTTTCTAACTGACAGAAGTAGAAGGAACTTTTAACTAGAACCCGAGGCCTCTAGTTGAGGTGGAAGCATTGCATCCATCCCAGATGCCTCTTGGTGTCGGAGACCTCCTATTTCTGCCAGAAAAATATGTTCAATAATTAATGACTAAAACCATTTTAGTCACCACAGAAAAATATGTTCAGCCCTAATCGATTTGTTTATAGATTTGTGATCAGTGATCAAAAGATTATTATAAATCGAAATGTGCTATTTCGTTTGTTTATAGATGTGTGAGAATTGAGAAGGAAATATTGAACCAAGAAGAACAGCCACCAAAGATAGAAGTCCCTTCTTCTGTTTCTGTTAAGGAAGAATTTCATAGACTCCAAATACTGACTATTTCTCAAGCCGAGTCGACATTTCATTCTTCACAAGAAGCATAACAGTACCTCTGAGAGCTCCATTTGTCCTGCAAGACGATTAAATGGATCAGCAACCTCATTTTGAAAGCAATGAATCATGATCAATATATACAAGAAATATATTACTTATTTTGAAAGCACCATATAGTGATTAGCAACAAATACATATATCCCAATATTTTATATCTGCGATCTACTGTTTGTAACCCAAAGTTCTAACTCAGCACTAGCAAGTTTATCATTACTCTTTCTGGACTTATATTCTCTCTTTTCTCCAAGCATTTTTTGTCTTTTCATTATTAACTACAAATATGTCCAATTTAGCCTGAAGATGTATTCTTATAAGTTCTTGATGAGCTGCGCTTGTACAATGATATCGTCTTTGTCAGTTTATGCCATTTGGCTAATTTATTGTGGTAACCTACTGTAGCCCGAATACCAGAGACATAATTAAGTAACCTCTCCATAACCCAATTCCCCTTTAACTTTCTTTTCATAGTAAACAAGATGATATTTGATAATTGAGAAACTCCAATGGTCATCTGGCACATGGTTTGGAACTTGGTGGATGACGGGCTCATACCTCTACCCTTCTCCTCTTAAATACAAGATTTTTGTTTGCGACAAGGTTCAAACTCGTGTGAGTTTAATGGTAAAAGAATTGTCTTTGCGAGAAAGACAACTCGGATTTAGTAGCACCTGATGCCTTATTCTTTTCTACTCAAAGAATATATATATCGAATAATTTTCACATACAATACTAGATTGCACACACGAATCTGAAAACATCAATGGACTCAAATTACTAGGAGTATTATATATATACATAAAATCAGATTGACAACATTAAAGATGGAAACAGTATCTGGTACTGGAGGAAGATAAACTCCATCAAATTGCATGGCAAGGACAGAATGGTATAATAATAGCTCTTATTGTTTTACTGATAATGGAAAACTATTCTGTGAGTAGGAGCTATAACAAACTACTAGGAAGGCTGCAGAAAGTACAGAAGTTGCGCTGATATGAAATTCTATCATGCTGCCTAGACATAGGGAAATTTCTGACTAAGGAGAGGATGATCAGACTTCATAAACCAACGGAGGATGGAATTTGCTGTTTACGACAATAAAATTGAATTCCAGCTACATCTATTTGTGGAATGTAGTTGAACAACCAAGCTGCATAAATAATTGAAGACCTGTACAGTATATATGAAATAAGAAGGGGATGACGCAATGTTTAATTGGATTCTTTTTTTTGTTTGACGCTGTAGTTATTCGACCAGACTTCCTCGAAGATGGCTTAAATCTCTAGAGTGCTTTTTAGGTGTAACTATTTGGTTGTTATGGTAATTCCTCACAGTTTACCAAAAAATCAACAAAAAAAACACTAACCATGCTTATAAAGATTGGAACTTCAGTTTATACTAAAGCAAAGCAAGGATGTATCTTAGCACCCTTTATTTATTCTAACAAGTGGGAATTGCCTCAAACTCCTTAGGCAAAGGATAACCGAACATCGATGAACTCCTCAATAGATATCCATAAAGAAAACTTCTCTTGATAACACAGATCTGTCTTTGGGAGAAAGACAATTTCTTTTCAGCAGTTCAGAACAGAACAACACATGAATTTTTTTGCAATTTATACAAAGTTTGCATTCATTGACTCAAACTACAAGTATTATTGGATTTAGAAGTTGACCTCATCATATTGAAGCAAAGGCAGAATGTTGGCAGCCCTTAATCTTATTAGTACAAGTAGGAATATTTTCAAATTCCTTAGCTGGTAACTTTTCAGACAAAAATCCAACATGAAATTCAATCATCTGAGACTCTTCATCAACACTAATCCCAGTTACAGATACCCATACAAACAACTTTTTTGCTTGTATTCCAGTGACATCAGAGACAGATCCATAACTCAACTTCCCTTTAATATCTTTTTGGTAGTAAACAAGCTGATCTTGAAACTGTACATAACATGGATGTGTGAGTTGGACAGTAAAAGAACCGTCTTTTGTGGAAATAGTGTAGGATTTCACATTGTTTGGGAGAAGACCCTTTGGAAGATTGTAAGAAGGAAGGAGATCATGAACATCATCATCTTTATTTGAACGGCTAAGATTGAAGGATAGACAAAAGATGAAGAAGAACAAGAACAAAAGCTCTGACTTTGGAGAGAATAAGGCCATTATTGAAGCAGAGAGAGAGAGAGAGGCAGAGGAAGACAATTAATAATGGGACAATCAAGAGGCAAAATAGAATTTCATTACGTAGTTAGAATGTCATTTTCCCAAGGAATATGAATAATGCATTGAATCAAATAATCCTATTGGCACATAATGACTCAACGGTGTTAGCTAATGTTAGTTAGTTCAGTTTATTTAGGATACTGCAGTAATTATTTTAACAATCATGGTTTATTTAGATTATGTTATTAGTGTTTGTTTAGGAGTTCTCTTAGTATATTCTTCAGTACTTATTCAATATTTATAAGTAAACCCAAATAATGTTTAGTTATTTATTATGTAGAAGTTGAGTGTTTTTTCCCCTCTCTTTTTGGAGGAACTAAAGTTTTATAGAAGTTTAAATGCTTTATTGAAAGGCAGGTACATAAAATATTATGTTGTATTTGGAGTGTGAGGTAGACAACTTATTTAATTCACTTATTTTGAACTATGAAAAAAAATTCCAACAATTCAATCAATATGGACAGGCTAGAGGAAGTAAAAATATTAATGATTGCTTTCACGGTTCAAGCTCAAAGACAACCTACCCTACTCTATCACTTGCTTCTATTTCTTTCTTAAAATAAATTGAAGACGATTAAATTTTAATTAGAAAATTGAATTATTATAAATAGATTTAAATAAGTGGAAATTATTGATTTTATCTTTTTTACAACGAGATAACAATACTATATATTCTTGAAAGTCTGCTAAATAAATATATATTAAACAATAGTAACTCAAATAGTAGAAAAGAAAACTACAAAATTGTATAAAAACATTTAACCTTTTAACAATAAACAGTAAGTTAAACTAACATCATTGCTTTATGAATGTGTACGAAATTTTTTTCTTGGAGGCTACTTTCTAAATCTCAGTTCATGCCTATATAAATGATATTATATTCTCTGGCATTTCAAATATTCCGCAAATTCATGAAATATTCATAGAGAGATCAAAATCAAAAGCATCTAAATTTGAGAAATACGCCACTAACTATCCTTGAATCATGGAAAAATCAACTAACAGATTTGTACTCACAATCTTGATGAATAAAATGATAAAAAGAAAACACAACAAAAACATTATAATAGTACAAACATATAATATTATAACAATGATTAGAGTATAACATTACTTTGAAGGCTCTGTTCTTGAAATCTACAACCAAATACATTAGATTAGGCTGATAAAGAATACACCTAAAAGATGCATATAAATCAATTGCTTGCAGAAACATACTCTCCCCTATACATGAGACCTATTCTTAATTAACACATCCATCCACCTACCATGGACTTGCAGTGGTGCACCGTAAGCCAGATATTTTTACAAAAAATGATGTTCAAGATTTGGATAGTAAATAAACAAAAAAAATCGATCATTGGATGCACCGAAAAAATTAAAATCAAAATACGCAGATAGTTCCTCTAGCGAATAAAGAGAAATAAATGAGACAAATTTTAATCAATTATCTAGACTTTCTAAAGATTGAAACTGTATAGGAATGAACCAAAGGCAAAAACAAGCAATCAAGAAGGCTGGAAGTTGGAAATTATACAAATAGACTTAGTTCATACTACTTATAGGGTCAAATAGTACAAGGTACACATTTTTCTGGCAGCTTCAGATATGTAGTTAGTTCAATAAGACAATTTGAATACATCATAATGGATATTTTCATCTCTCATTTGCTCTTTGAAAATTAGATGGGAAAATGGTATCCCATCGATCTTTGTTTGGTGTATTCGCTTTCATGAACGCTTTCATCTACTAATCAGGAGTAAAGGTGCAGAGCCAAGTATAAACCTTACAAAGAGCAATTCGGTTTTTAAACCACGGAATGTCACTATTTTCAATTTGTGTTCTGATAAAACAAAAATGGGGAAAAAAAGAAGTTAGAATAATTCAGTTTCTTCGAGATAATAATTAACAATACGTATTACACTATTAGAATTCACACCAAAGAGAGGATAAAAGAAAAACCTACTGTTAGATGAATGCTATGGGAAATGACATGAAATATAGGACTTCCAACATAATTTGCACAAAATAAGCCAAAAATATTTGACGAAATATGACCTAAAAATAATTGGAAAAAAAACAACCTATTAAAAAAGGAAGCTCTATCCAACAAGGCTAAGACTAACCCAAAATTTACCGACTAAAATCATACTATAAAATAAGAGAATTTCAGAAATAGCAAAGATAATAACAAATAGCTAGGGTAAGCATATACAAATTCTGGATTTATACAATCAAGAACAGAATTATACAAATTCTGGATTTATACAATCAGGGACCAAATTATACAAATTCTGAATTTATACAATTAGGAAACCAAATAACAATTTTTTGCGAAACTGTAGCCACAAATTAAAAATAATCGAAACTTATAGCTATATTACATAATATACTCTAGATGTTTGTCATTTTCGTGTAATTTACCCAAAGAAGCTATAATATTATTTTAATAGTAAATTTACACAGTTTTACCTAATTCCCTATTTCACGTATAAATAGAAATTGTATCTGACTATTTTTTTTTCTCACATTTCTCTCATTTATATTATCTCTATTTCTCTCCACTTCTTAACTCCACCAATTTAACACGATTCATTTCAATTTCTTCTAGTTTAAACTAGATATTTTTTAAATTCGCATTTTTGTGATTATTCATATCATGTAAAAAAATTATTTCACAGTAAATACATCTACACATTTGTTCTTCCAATTCTTTTTTTCCAAGTACAATTTTCAATTATCTTTTTAGGATTTGTGCTAAGCTTTCACAAATTCTCTATCAATATTGGAGTTTAGTATACAAAAAATTACAATGCTGGGGTGATTGTACTAGCGTTATTAATAAGAGTATTGAAAAAAGCAATATTGTTGTTGAAGAGAAGTCTTCCCGAAAGATATCATGATGCACCATGTGTTCGAAAAAGTATCATGATATATCATGTATTCAAAAGGTATCTTTGATACATTATGTATAAGTATTATGACACATCATGTATTCGAAAGGTATCATTAATACCTCATGTATCCTAAATGTATCATGATACATCATGTATCCTAATTAAACGTATCATGATATACATCATATATCCTAATCATATCATGATACGTTATGAATCTTAAACTTATCATGATACATCAGACATAGTTATCAATTACTCAGATTATGCAAGATCTTTTTATGAACACCAAGTGTATCATGATATACATCACGTATCCTAAACATATCATGATACATTATGTATCCTAAACTTATCATAATAATTGATACATCATACATAGTTATCAATTACTCAGATTATGCGAGATTTTTTGCTCATTAATGATTTGAAATAGGATAATTTCCCCATATTTGAATTCTTCTTTTGACTTGTACAAATATGGGGTTTTGCTTAAGCAACTCAAGAGAAAATTTTAATATCCACTTCATTTCAACTTGAATATTTTATTTATTTATTTTGTATGCAGTCACAATCAGGGCCGACCTACGTAGGGACTCCCGGGTGCTCGAGCACCTATTAATTTTGTATCGAATTATATATATTTTTATAGAAATTAAGAGGAATAGTATAAAATTGAGCAACGAGCACCTATAGAATAAATTGTTTGATTGGCACAGTGGCTATTTGTGGGTGCCTAAGGTCCTTTGAATGGTTTTGCGTCTGGGTTTGATTCCCAATTTTGCTACCTTTTTTTTTTTTTTACCTAAAATAAGTTTTGTTCTAGATTTTTTATAAATTACCATACTCATTTTACAAATCTTGCAGATTTGGCTGATTATTAGACTTTCCTAGCTTGATCTTCAGGGAACCCCAAACATGGATCTCCTAAATAATTTGTTGTACCATGATTCCCGCCTTTTTCTGGGGTTCGAAAAACACCCTGGAGTTCCTCTCAAGCCAAATATGCTATATAATTCCAGTTGAACTCATCTGGTATATCTCTGTTTGTATGTTCTGTTCAGTTTCATGTGTAATTGTTCATTGTTTCTCCTCTCAACAAGTACGAGGACCTCTAGGAATACCCTGTCATTGTAGCAGTTTGCTCCAAATCCACCCTGAGTAAGTACATTCAAAGAACAACTGATTATGATTCTCATTAACCTAGTTTCATAGAGGACATGAAGCTGAATCTAATGCACCCCACTGCATTAATCGATCTCTGGTAAACAACCTCTCCAAGATAGCAATTTGTACTATGAATATCCACTTTAGACATCCGAATGTCTAAATTGTTACATATAAGTCTCCTCCAATAAATTTAATATCGATTAAAAAAGAACTAAAAGGAAAACCTAAATTTAGCCAAAAAGAGAAATAGATATCATCATATCAAATATGTATTGTCAATTTAAATTTAAATATTTAGAATGATTTTTTTTTTAAAAACCTACATTACAAACAAAAAAAGAAAGAAAATATATATAAGAGCAATATAACCAGCGGCAAAACTGATGTAAACGGCTCTGCAAATAAGTGAAGCTTTCGATAGAAGCAATAAGCAGAGCTCAAATTTTGTGCAAACTCTTTTTGTTGAATTATACGTCAAAGAATGAAGCTTTCGATGAAACGTTTGCTGACCAAAATGAAATCTGAAGCTTCTCATCGATGCCCAAAACGGAGGAGACTGAGAAAGCGTACTGAAATTCCAAGCAAAGATTCAATGTGTTTTACAGTTTTTAATATAATAAAAAAGTGTTTGCCAGAAGAACTGATCGAAGCAATTCTTGTAAGGGTTCCAGTTGTCTGTTTCCGTTCCCTGGGACTGATCTTCCCGTTGGAGAGCTAACGAACTGGATTCTCTAAAGCTTAACCCGATAGGAATCTTCTCGATTTAAGAAGGAATTGACGTATAGACGTATATAAGTATATAAAAAGTCAGAATGGGAATCTTACAGTTCAAATGTGTTTCCAAATATTGGTTTAATTTGATTTCCAGTCCTCATCTTAATTTTTCTGCT